GACTGAAGGGTGGTTTCAGCAGTGAGGGTCATCCTGGTGTTGGTGCTGCAATAGCTTCGTGGGAACAAATTGTAGGACCTGATTTGCTGGGGTGTTTAACATCAGCCTCAAGACTAGTGAGCCATTCTGCCTGGGATGCAGCTGACCTAAATTAAACTTAGTTTCCACAAAGAGTGAGGCAAAAAAGCCTTGCTGCTTGTGGTAGTTGTTAACATATCTCATTTTACATTTCACAGAACAATATGTTAAATTCTGAATGTGTGAAACTTCTAAATACATCCTGAAGGCATTAGTATTCAGTCTAATGCTTTTAAACATTTCCTGCATTAGAATAATTTCCTGTTTGTAACATTGATGGAGTCAGCAAGTGCCTAACCCGGTCTGTATTGCCCATTCCCAGAAGTTGTTGGGTGAAGCTGAATACGCATCCAACCAATCGCATAACTCGTAAAAGCAAGCACTTGTTAAATCTATTTGTTTTTATTATGGACATCGATCTGCCAGTCGCAATAATGCATTTATGGACATTTTTCTGCAAGCGCAGCGCTGGTGGCAGTTTTTACTGACAAATTGAGTCATATGGACAGTAGTTCAAAATACGCTTACTTTATTGACGGATCGTGCAATTCTCTAGTTTACCGAGTGTTCATAAGATATCTGGACTGGTGAAGAGAATGTAACTAATGGGAAAATGCAGGACAAAGTTTTAATTTCAGGAGGCTTGAATTCTTCTAGGTAGTGACAGGCTACAGCATGTGTCTTGACTGGTTTTGTGAACTTTAATGTCTTCATTAATGCCGTAATTAAAAAGCAAAAAGACCTGGTTTTGTGTCCTTACTGTGGACTTCAGTTCTGTAGTTTCTTACCTCTGCTAATAGCTGTGAAGGTTGCTGTTCTACAAATCTGTGCTGGCAAGGGCTTCAGTTTATCTGAAGGTATAATGAGCAAAACCTTCCTGATGCAAGAAAAAAAAAATTCTGTGTTACATTTTGTCTCCTGTAAGGCTAACATTATCAGCCAGCACAGGTGCATTTGGGCCAGCATTAAGTTAAACATACAGTTGGAGGAACAACCAAACTATAAAACCAGACCAAGCATGTATTGAAGTATTTTCCAGAAATACAAAATGCAGTTTTAAAACTGATCTACTGGTGTGGTCCAGACTGCTGTTTAAAAAAAAAGAAAAAATGTATTTGAATGTCAGTAAAGCTTGTGTGGCTTTGGAGTTTTATGGAAGTTGAGTAACTGGGAAGGTTTTTCTTTGGAAATATGTCACTGGTTTGATGCTTTTTGCTAATCCTTCTTCAGGTTGTTTCCTTATTTACTATTTTATATCAGCAGAGCAAAAGCACCCTGTCCTGATGTCTGTCAGGACTATCTGCTATCTATTGATTTATATTGTGCCAAAGTATATGGTATAAATCATTTCAGGTGTCTTTTCAAGTCACTTGTAAAACTTGGACATGCAGCTGAAATTCTCCCCAATATAATAGAGGTTCTGAAGGTGATTACAAATACTTATTATCTGAACAAGTCGCCTTTAATCTCAAGGAGGAAGAGGGGAGTTCATCGATACAAAGGTTCTGACTTTCCCCTTTGGTTTTCAGGTGAAATAGTAATAAAGTAGCACTACTGACAGAGGGCCTGTAGTCTTGAGCAGTTTGGCAAAGGGGAATAAAGAATAATTCTGCCTGTCTCAAAGCAGGAGCTGATGGCATCTGGAGAAACAGCAAGTGTCACTTCAGACTACACTGTATGTTCACTATCCAGTGTGTAGCTGAGCTGTGGGTCATGGAATAGGCGGCTGGGGATGCTGGGTTTGGGCTCAGAAACAAACTTTTATTTTAAACTCAGAAATCCCACTTCTGACTCAGGAAGTTTGAATCCCACTTTTTTGGGGGGGATGGGAGCGCACATTATGGTATACTGGTAAAGATCACTATATTTTTTTATAGTACTCAGTAGCTATGTGCTGTTGAAGATGGGATACTGAAGAGATGGGCTTCTGGTCTTAGCTGATGGGTGCATTTTAAGGTTTTAATTGTTCAAATGCCACTTTTTAGTGTGTTATGATCAGATTAATGAAATAGGTATTTTAGTAAACTAGTAAATATATTAGCAGCACAGCCTACTGAAGTCAGATTTGCTTTGTTTTCTGAATCATGCCATCTACATGTTCCAAGTGCACATTTAACTCCCTCCAGGTAACTCTGCATTAGCAGATAGCAAGTATTAGTGCTGTCTTGTAAATGCTGCTGCATAATCATAATTCAGTAATATTTAAATTATCTGACTGCTTTAGATCAGTCAGTACAATGCAAACAATAATGTAATCTTTGGTTGTTTGTACATTCAAGTATGCAGAAGGTCTGTTAATTAGTTAAACTTTTTAATAAACACATAAAGTATACTTAAGACCCTGTTAAAAGATTAATTTTTCTGTTTCACATATAAAAACCACAAGGTGGAATGTACAGCATCTAAAAATACACATGAAATGCACAAACTTGCTTTGGCAGCAGTGGGTTGGCTATGTTGACAGTACATTTTTAGACTGTCAGCAGTGTCCTGGACAAACAATTCACACAACTTCATTCTCCCTTCATCCTGCTCCATTGGAGTTTCGTATGATTGGATATAATGCAGTGGAAAGGGTGGGGGGAGAAGGGAAATCCCTTGCACAGTCTGCTGTTGACACCAGAAATACCTCTGGTTGTTTGCTGACTTCAGTCCATGAAATAACAAGATTTCTGGCTGGTTGATTGAGAAATGAAATTGACTTTTTTCAAACTGGCCACAGTTTGGTGGTTTTTTCTTTTTTTTCTTTTTTTTTTCCTCCCCCTCCCTGGAAGATAAGTGAATTGGTTTTAGCTTTGAGGCTTAGGCAGTTGGATGGAAGGCTTGTCTGGAAGGGCAGGCTGGGTGTACAGCTGGTGGTGTGTGTTCAGAAAGTGAAATGGAGGCGAAGTGCTTAATCTGAGAGAAACTTTTTTTAATAAATGCTTGAGTTTTGGTTTGTTGTTTTTGTTTTTTTTTTTTAAATAGGACAATAGTACTATTTTGTTTTCACCAATTAAATGAATTGCATGTTTGTGAATGCACCTTGTTTTGTATTATTGGTAATGCGTATGGCCTGGATTTGAATGCTTTTCAGTTGTCTTTTTGTGCAGCTATATTTGATTCCATAGTGAGAGTTTCTAAGAATATGATTAACCCTATGGGTCATCTTATAATGTAATTATTAATGATTGATTCTGTTTATCCTTGAAATCAATATGAGAAGCAAAATGGTTTGGCATATATTTGGGGTTGATTTCTAACATTCAGTAAACATGATCTTGTGACAAGACTAGTATTGGTTTATTACTCTGAACATGGTTGATGCATCTGAAGTGTGTAATTAGTTTTATATAATGATGGTGATATGTGGTGTTTTTTACATGACTTATGTTAATATGGCCAATAGTGTTAACATCTCTTGCCACTAATAGTTAGGGTGGGGATGTATAGTAATTGATCTTCCTGGGAGTGCTGTAATGTAAAAACAATTCAGGCTGTTTGAAGTATATTTTACAAGTGTGCATTGGGCCTTTGGGATGTTACACTGAAAAACCCAATTGTACAGTTACCATGGGAACCCAATTAGAATAGATTGCCTGAGTTTTTTTCAGTCTTTCATCTTGACCAAAAATCTAATGTACTTTAAATGTTTTCATATGGAATTTTATTCATATACTGACTTGATATAATAGCTGTTTTTAAATTTTAGTACTGAAACCAGAGAGTATTACATTCTGCGGTTCCTGAGGACTTGTCTTTCAAGGAGAATCTTCCTTTAGTGTTTAAAAGTTGATGAACTGAGAAAAATACTTTTTATGAATCTAAGAGTTCTTACTGTAGTGCTGCCATCACATGTACTTTTCAGGCTGCAGTCCTGTGAAAGTAAACAGGAAAGTATCTTAAAATGCAAGGACTTCTGTTGTAGACCATCAACAAAATATGGCTGAAATTTTTGATGGCTTTTAAGGATCTGATTTTTGATATAACCCCTGACTTTGCTTCAAATTTTTGGTCTACTGACATATTCAAAGGTTTGGAATGCTCACAGGATGGGTCTGTGCTGTATTTGCTTCCTGCACCTACACTGTAGGAGAAGTTGGGTATCTTTACTCATGCTTTTTAGAGACTGTTGCGTTGAGGAAGTGTGAAGGGGAATTGCCTAAAACTATTGAGGAAACTTTTGGTGACTGATCTGGATTTACTCTTGAGCTCTGTGTGGATTGCTCTTAAGAGTATGTGAGCATCCTTATGGGGGTGCTGGAGATTTTTTAGATAGTAATGCATCACGTGGAACCTGGCTAGCAATTAAACTGCTGTTGTCGCCACAAATTAGATGCGATTTGAAACAACTTGAAATTTAACTGGATTTTGGCATTTGGCATGGTTTCTTTCATAAACAGGAAGACAGACTGTGTTGCAAGTAAATACAAAACAAAAATTTGTTATGAAAAGGGATGTTTCCTGATCAGTTTTGTCCCAGAGATGTCTGCTGGGCTCTGAGCTCCTTCAGTCAGGGTGAATGCTTGTTGTCTGGCTGACCTGACAGAGCAGCCCTTCATCCACCCATGAGCAGCTGCTATCTTGGAAACACTTTATTTCCCAATGGGAAGGTGGGGAGCAAGCGGATCTTGCCAGAACCCAAAGCAGCGTGCGCCATCAGATCAGCTGGTAGGAGATGGGAAGAGGGGCATAAGTAACTGTTAAATGGTAATTATTTAACATTTGGTGCACGGGAAGCAAAAGCGCATAGGTGCCCCAGTCCTTCATACATACGTGTCCAGACTTCGTTCGTATTCAGGTTGCCAAAGATGTATTTCAGAGGAAGCCTTTGGGTTTCCCTTTCCTGGTGGAGGTGGTAGGTGAGACTTCCTCAGGTTGCCTGCCACGGTACGAGGGGCATTTTGATGGTGAGTGATTTGTGCTGCGGATGGGACGGAGGCATGCCGCTGGCTTGCCTTCCCACTAATGCTGGGGATACTGGGCTGCCATCGCGGCCCCCGCTCTGCTCCTTGGCCTCCTGGGGGAGCGTAGCAAAGGCAGAGGACGGATGCTTACTCCTGGGTATCTCTGTGTAACGTTGGCTTAATTCAGTGCACTCACACACTGTAAGTCTCTTTGGTCTTTGGCCCAGGTTTGGAATGAGCTTCTGGATAAATCTGCTTTTTGAGGCAAATAGTCTAGCTTTACCCTTCAGAAAAATCTGAAAAAAGCTGAGTGTTGCTATACACTTGGAAAGTTAAAGCTCTGAACTGACAACAGAAATAAATTGCTATTTTATTTTTAGCTCTGTTGTAGATATTTAAAATAATATTATATTGGATTGCTCATCTGCCTGGCTTATTCACATTTAAAAATGGAGTGAGTGATCTTTGCACTGCCTACCTTGCAAGGGTATGATTGTTAGTATATTTAAAGTACTCATTTTTCAGGATCTTAATTTTAAACTCGTAATATTACATCTTAATTATTTTAAATATTTCTGCTTTCTTTTAAGTTGTTTGTAAGTGGCTGTACGTTCTGTCACTGCCTTGGACTTCAAGGCTTGATGTGTTGAGAGGACTTGGAAAGCCTTAGATGTTGGTTATCATTTCTTTTGAGAGATTCAGCATTTCTTTAAGCAGATACGGTTATCCCCTTCTGTGGTGCAGTGAGTTCCCCGACTTAAGTGGAAGAGTTCCTGTTGAGGCTGGCTGTGAGTCAGGACTCTGAGGCTGAGCTTTGTCAGATAATCTCCCTGTTTTTCAAAAATGTAATGTTTATAGCACATCTTTACAAAGATACAATGATCTTAGCTAAATAGCACTGAAAAGAAAATAGGGGGGGGAGGACTAAGTAAATGCCAAGGAAATAGCAATCATCCTTTATTTCAAAGGGGAGAGCGAAGCGGAACCTGTTGTATTTTTGTTAATGATATATAAATAATGATACTGTTTAAGACTAGAATTCTAATAATTAAAGTTAACATTTCTTAGGTACTTTCTTAATGTTTTGCAATCTGTACTTTTAAACCTAGGATACAACTAAGTTACTTGCTCTCATGCCTTAAAATGTGTTACTTCCTGAATCACAAAAGGCTGTAACTCAGAAGTGCATTACTGCCTGTACAAATATTTCTTAAATTAATACTGTATCTTTTAGGTCATTCTTATTCAAATCATGAGCTGTGTAGTGTTTGTTATGGAACAAGTCTTCAATATGCCATCTGTTGATTTTTTTTTTGACTCTCAACAAGCAGTAGATGACCTCATGAACATTAAAATTCCTGGTTGTAAAAAAAAAAAAATCAAGCTCCCCTTTGAAATTATATACTGAAATTTAGAGCCCATTTAAAAAACTGATATCGAGTTGGTTATAGGGGAAATAACACTATTGACATGTACTGTTCCTCTTGTGGAATTCAAATTAAATCTCAATCTAACTGAGATTTTTTTTTTCTTTACAGGTGGAGACCTTTCATCTACCATGGCAGCAAGGCTTGTTCCAAACGTAAGTTTCTAGTAAAATACCCTTGCATTTAGGTGTACGCTGAAAGTCCAGCATTACAAAAGAGTTCATGTAACATAGGTTTTTCCCCAGTGTCCAGCAGTCAGTATTAAGAATCCAGCTGACAAGATTGATGCTGCATTGTAAATCTCTGTAGTTCTGTCATGGTTGGTAACAGGCATCAGCAGACCTTTCCCCATCACGTATCTATCTGCCACAGAGCGTAAACTAACAGGACAATGCTACATTTTCAGTTATAAGTTAGCAGTTTGCTTCTGTTTCCTAATAAGTACCTCGTTTATTGGAAAACAAACAGGCTTAATTTTGAGGCTTGATGCTTCAGTAAGTGTAGGGCAGTAACTTTATAGTAAAATAAGAAAACAACTCTATTTATCAAGAAATTCAGAACAATTTACCTTATTGAAAGGAAGGCATCAACACATTTTTAGCGCATAACCGTATTCTTCAAATAATTAAAATGAACTTTGAAGATAAAAATACATTTTTCTGTGGAGTAACTATTTTTGTAACATTAGTAATGCTCCTCTAGGAAAATATTTCTAGTACATTCAAACTTGCATATCTATTCTGCTGGCAACTTCTATCACTGTTAAAAATGTCTTAATAGTGGCATCTCTGGTGGTTTTAATCTACTTCACGTAATGTAAAGTGGCTTAGAAAAGTAGTATTTGGGCATATTCTGTGTCTTCTACCCCTCTGTAGAAGATTTTCTTTCTCTTTTCCACAAAAGAAAATTGCTTTTTTTTTTAAAATGGAGTGGTTGAGGAAGAAAATAAGGAAAATAAATTCTTGCTTCACTTTTTTTCTATTGAACAGTCATCTGTTTAGTTATGTATGTATCTCCCAGTTGCAAACATCTTTTAGCAGGTACCTGGAATAATGGCAGAGAAATATTTGATTATCTTTGCACAACTGGGCATGGTAGGAAGAGTCACTAGTTCCTTCTCATTCAAAGCTAGGTGTGATATAGCTGGCAAGTGATATGAAACTAATAATTTATTATCTAACCTTTTCACTTCTCCCACTCTCACTTCTAGTTGAAAGGTGCAGCATTAGCTGTTAGGGGAGTTTTCCCCTTTTGATATGTGGAAGGGCACAGGGTTTAAGGTAAAACACGTGAACTCTTGCAGCCCCATCTGCCGTGGGGAGCAGGGATCTGCTGGGGGCTGTGTGGACACAGCCCAGGCTCCTCTGCTATCTGGTCCTGTTTCTGGATGCATATTAAATATGTATGTAATGTAGTTCATGTTTCTTTAGTGATGTTTATAATGTATGATTAGCGTACAGTTTTACTTTGAGCACAACCACACGTTGGTGTGACACACAATATATGCCTGGCATATGGTTTTTGCAGAAATCGATTATCACCGATGTAATGTGCTGAACAGTTTTTAAGCAGGTTTCTGAAAGCAGTCAGATGTGGGCATTTTCCACAATCACTGTATTTGTCTCCTGCTCGATCCCAGATTCTGTTACGGTGGCCAAAGATGTATGTTCGGTTGTGTGGAAGAGGCTGAAATGTGGCTGTAGTTATGTGCGTGAGCATACATCAGGAATGTCTCTGTATTTAGGAGTTTTGGGGGTTTGTGGTGTTCTTATGACAATGTGGCAATTTTTCTATTTCATGAGAAATTTAATTCTAAGTGTAATTCTCTTCCTCTTTGGATTTCTTGTAGTTATTAAATTTAAACTTATTAAACAGATTCTTGGACTAACTGTGATGCTTTGCTCTCTGTTAATACAGTGAAACACTTGTCCACGCTCTCCTGAATCAAACCAAGATTGATGAGGATAGGAAAATTCAGATGTGTGTGCCAAGACTATAATCTTGGATTTTTGTACAAGTCTTTTTGACACCTGTCTTTTCTGTGTATTTATTTTACTGTAGATGCATTTGTATTTTTAGTGAATTCTTAATACACAGTTTGCTGCTTCATTTGTTTAAAGCTGTTCTACTCACTTTAAAAATTTCAATGAAATTCTTTCCTTGAACACAATTCAGATTCCTGACTCTCCTTCAGCTTAAGGAGCACTATTAATGGTTTTGTTCATATTGCTTAGATTTATTTTGTTATTATTCTCTAGCTCCTTCTCTTCAGGTATAGCTATTTTGGTATTATAAAGAATGATGGATTATATAGGAAAGTTTCTTTTGAAGCACTCCTGATATTGTGCAATGCACTTGGGGGTCAGCTACACTTGACTGATGCATGATTTATCCGATGTCCCTGCCACTTTCTGAGATAAAGCTGCTATTTTATCAAAAATGCCAGCAAGTGTGATTTAGAATTTATACACCTCCTTTTTCAAATAATTGTTCTGATTACTTTCTGGCATGGCAATAAAATGATAAAGGTAATTGCACACAAATGTGAGATAGCACCAAAATACAATAAAATTAACCTGAATTAGCTTGACTTGTCGATGAGAAGTATTTATGAAATGTATTTTTGCAATAAGGGAGACTGATATTATAGCTGGAAGGTGAGTTATTGCCTTAATGTAATACTGTTTGAAATTTAAAAAAGAGACTGTTACAGTTGAGGGTGATTGTGCCTTTGAAATTAAGTTGAAGTGATTCTTATAATTGGCAGCAATAATGCATTGTGAAGGTAATATCTTTTATTGTGTTATGCCTAGTTGCATTATCTTTTATTTAGCTGGTCCTGACTTCAGCTCTGCAGAGAACACCAGAAGGAGCAGATCAAGAATTTTGTGGATTTAGGTGATAAAAATTTGAAATGTTACCTAATATTAAAGTCATTCTTCTGCTAGATTTTTTCATTTTTAGCCCATTTTCAGGTCCCCTGAACCTGATACAAGTCCCATTTGATTAAAATTTCATCTCTTTTCCTTGTATTAGAGTAGTTGCCATATATTTACATACACAGCTGAACCCTGTTAACAGTAGCGCACTTCAGTCTTGCTATATGTGTGTATGCATGCATATACATCAGGTGGCAATTTTGGCAGTTAAATTTTGTATTTCTCAGTGCCTTAAGGTATAACCTTCTCTTACTAAAAAGTATATACACACTTTTACAGCAAGAACTTCAATGGTAATTAAGGAGTAGATCTTAAAATGTTGGCTAATGTCTTGAGTTTATTTTGTGAAGTGATGAATGCATCTGGAAAATCCAGACAACTGCACAATGACTTCTTTTCCTTTGCATGAGACTTGTTAAAACTCAAACCAGTAACAACTAGATATTAATTTTGGGGACCCTCTAATTCTTAGAGACAATATTCTTAATCTTTGATTCTTTAGTATGGTATTTGTTTCTGCAATTGTTTGGCAACAAATTCCTTAAGTATGAGTTAGTGTTTTGCGCCATGTGAGTGCATGTTAAAACACTGAACAAAGTATTACCTTGCTTTGTAGTGCATTGCACAGTGCTTCTAACTGAATCTTCTGGCGCATGATTTCCAGTCTGAAAATAAGGGGCAGGGGGACTTAATCCCTTTTGTTAGGTCATTGGTAGGGTAAAAATGACAATGTGCTTCCACATCCCGTGGTAGAACACCAAGCAATGTGGCTTACAGGGTCGTTTCTGGTGGGATTTCCAGATCCCTCCTAACAGCAAGGAACGTACCCAATTAGGACTTCTGTCTTTGCTATTGGTGGCATAATTTGATTATTACAGAAATATCTGGCCCTGTCCTGTCTATGTTTTTCCCTGTTCTTGGCACTCCATTTCTTAGCCAATTCTGCTCTAATTCATTATATTATCTCTAGGCAGCCTGCAGTTTCAAATGAGATGCTAAATTAACTAGGTGCCTCTAAGCTTAAGTCAGGCTGTTTCATTTCCTTTTTAATTTTTCCTGGGCACCAAGATGCATCCTAGGAATGGCATGACCTGATCTTGCAACCTTGATGCCAATCTACCACAATCACTAATTTGTACAGCTTATTAACACCACACTTTCTAATGGAATTTTACTTGTATGCTGCATGTAAATGTTTGACTTGTTTAAGAATGTTCATCTTGGCTTCATGGTAATGCTATGAAATGATGATATAAATATTCTACTGCATATATGGTTTAAACTGCTAAGTGGCCGCAGCAGTGGCTGCTACACTTGCATAGCATTTATGTTTCCTATATAAGTAATAGCTGGGGAAAGATACAGAACGTGTTTACTTGGATTTGGAGAGGTATTGGAGGAAATAGTACATCTGAATTCCTGTTTAAACGGCCCACTAAGGTCTTGTGTTTAAGTATCTGCTGACACTGTCTCAAACCAAAGCTTGGCATGTGGGCAATAGAAGAAGTAGAAAAATGCACTTCTTGAATGCAGTCTGAAATGCAGTAGTAGTAACCTACCTGCCTCTCCTGAAGGAGAAAAATTAGTTTTATTACAATTAAAATATCCTTTAAGTAAAATGAAGAAGTCTGAGATAGCACTGGTAAGTACACTGGGAATTTGCCATTTGTCAGACCAGGATTATTCCTGCCTGCCAAAGCAACAGACTGAAGACATAGCCAAAGAGCCAGAGGCTACCACTGCTTGGAAATACACTTTCATAGCTTGGCATTTCAGGGTCTTTTGATTGCCATCCAAAGAGGATTAGTAGTATAATACGATGGGACAACAGAAACTTGCTTTTGTTGTCTTTGATTGTTTAATAAAGAATTATGTGTTTGCTCTTGTCGAATACTTTTAAAATGCCGTAGAAAGCAAATGTTGCTCTCTGTATGTGAATGTGTATCCTTCTGGTTTGTCGGGGGCTTGTGTGAAGTGGGCCTTTTGTTAAGTGAAGATGGGGACTGATTTTTAGTGGCTGCTGTGCCAGTGTCTATTTGTGTATGTTCAGAATATGCAGTTTAATTCTGTACGTTCACATTTTTATGGGATTAGTTCTTTGGAAAGTAAAGAAATTGTTTTATCACCCCAAACTAACCCTGGATTTGCTTATAGTCTGTCTGACATTTCCTCTCCAAACCTCCCCTAGCCAGGAAATGAGTAGGTTTTGTTTTCAT